GTCCAGAAAAGGGCTCTTTCTATGATATGGCCTGACCTTCCATACGATCATACGCTTGAAAAGGCCGCCATTCAGACCTTGTCGGCGCGCCGCGCAGCTGCATGCGAGCGGTTTATTCGTAAAATTCGCCCAGGCCATCCCTTATACCCCCATATTCATGAGCGGGTACTTCACAGCACAACGCAAATGTGTCTGCGATCAGGCAAATCTTCTCACCGCACACTTGTCAGAACTGAGCGTTTTAAAAATTTCGTTACCGTTAAGTCTCAACCTGTGTAAAGTATTGTGTGTATTTATTTATTTAGGTTTCCAGTGTGTATATTTTTAAAACTGTACCAGTAATTCAGCCTTAGGCTGCAAGTGGTTCGAAATAAACTATATTATTATTATTATTATTATTACTTATATTGTTTTGATATGATCAGAAGCGTATGACATATAGGTTGTACACTTCTGATAAGATATCTAAATGACTAATCGTGGGAAGTCCGCAAAGGAGGTGTTTTCGTAGTTCAGAAGTGACCGATGCGTGGATACCACTCAAGCACTTTCAATGCTGCTAATTGTTTATTGCTCACTACTTTAGATCTTTACTTTAGATCTGTTTCAAGAAATTTAACTCTTCATACAGCAGGGCAGTAGTTAAGAAACCCTTTATTCGATAAAGTACAAACACGCTGTTACTTATTCCAAATCCTAATTAGTCGAATCGAATATATATTTGAAAGACGTTCTAAATGATACATCCATGCAGAGAAAATTTTAATGAGTCTCAGAATTAAGAATTTCCGAGAAGCTCTTTTTCTCAACCTTTTAACCACGGCACTTTTGCGAACTTCCTTTCAGACATGGTTTTCACACTTGTTTTCCTTTAAATTCCCTGACATCACTTAACTAGATCCAATTTTTTATCGTTCGAATCATTGTGGATTTTCTATGTTCTTTCAATGACTATCTGTAAATCTCAGAAGTTTATCAGCACCATGAGCCCATTACTGGGCTCATGTCAGCACTAAAAATCTGCATAAAGTTGCATCTTAATGCAAGCGCTTTCATTTGGTTCATTTCCTTCTCCTAATATGTTATGCTGTTACGTAAGCTATACCTATCGTCTCCCCAGGTATACTGTGATATCGGGGTAGATCGCCCAGCGTGGACCTTGACGCTCGATTTTCAAACAGTGATGGCAAAAATTGGATGCGTGACGATGGCAGATGGTGGTATGACCAGTAAAGTGACAACGGGACAACAAATTACCCTTCAATAAACGCTGATATGATCTCGCCTGCCTTTTGGTTGGTCAGCGGTAGTGAAATAAAAATCACGCGTAGTGATGACCCTAGCCACACCCCTCTGTCGCAGACAACAGGAAACTGTTTGGGTGGACAGTCATTCCGATCCAAAATCAGTCGTTGAGGCGACTTTAGAAATGGTCAAGTCTGGGCCAATGATCAGTGTCTGGGAAGTTGCATGGTTCAATATGGCGGACAGTACAAGTCAACAGATGGGTTTCAAAAAGCTGAGTGCAGTGAAGACATCCAAAGCGCCAACAAGATCGGATTCTGGTGTGACTGGGATACTGGTGATGGATCAGTGATGATGATTGGTGGAGGAGGAAGTAGCTGTGCGCGAGCTGATCATGGGATTGGAATCACAGAAGCCAACAGAGTGTCTTTTGATGACAGCTGAACCAGTGACACTGAATATGACTTTGATTATGATGCTCTAAAAGGAAACACTCCATCCCAGTGCTACTCGTTGAACCTATAAATCCGTTAAAAATAGTCAAGCCTTTATTTTTCAAACTTAGTTTAGAACTGAAGAACTTTGTTGAGGATGACTTGTGATCCAAGTCAAATAAGCACTTTAAATGATCAGTAATAACGCATCTTTCCCATCTCGTGGCAAAAATAAAATGACTTGATAACCACCCCAGCCGCAACGCTAGGGTCCTTAAACATCCTTAGATCTTCACTGGCAATAAATTAATTGCCATTAGAATTTTTATAACATTCAGCATAATTAATTTAAGTCGGACTCACAACTCATCTTTTCAAGGAGATGTGATGTATTCATTGACGATTGTTAATGTCATCAGTGGCACTATAAATACAGATACTACTTTGTAACATTTCGGTTTGTCTCGTACTAAGCTAAAATAACTTGATCATATATCATCCTGGCCCTACTGCTAGGATCTCGCCATTTTAAGATCTTCGCTGGCTACAAATAGCCACTAAATGTATTCGACAAAGTCAATTTCAGTGATTAATCATATGAAATCTGACTCAAAATTCCTCTTTTCAAGATGTGAAGTGTGCATCAGTGATTTGTTACTGATCTGTGACGAAATATGCAAACAAGTTTTGATATCTTAATCAGTAATTCGGTCCTCAAATTGTAAAAAGTCGGCAAACATGAAAATCAAATCTCCGACGGCTGATCTTGCCTAATAAAATTAGGCTTTGATATCCATGGCAATGGGAATATTACGCCAGACTAATACAATTAAGAAAACATGCTTAGAGAACAAGAAAGATCATAAGTTACCTCGGATCTGGACTCCATTTGCAGTCTGCTTTCAGTTCTAGGCCTCCTTCTGGTTTGTTAGATCATAGG